AGAGTCTCCATCAGACAGCATAGTTGTGTAGCGCAGGCCATGGCGTTCAAGCGACCTCTGAAATAGAATTAGAGCCGCCTCCACTTCCATTTGCCTCGCTTTGCTGTTCGTATTTTTTTGGCATTTGTGGTTAGCCTTCCATTCTTGATAGCCCTCACTACTAGGCTTTGGGCCCACCTCGCAGCCTAGGCAAAAGTTGGAAAGAACGACATAGTCCAACACGTAGCCACTAAATAATTCGATAACTGTGCCCACGTCGATGTGGGAAGAATGACCTCGCGTCTTCCACGTGCCGTCGTAGCCAACGGCAATATTGCCCCGGTGGCCGAAGCACAAGTCATCATAAATTGTTCTAACCTTTTCCGCACATTCACTCATAGCGGACTCCGCCGCTCGCGTTGCAGCGGGTGCCAGCGTGTTCTTCAAATGCCGCTGAAACGTCTTGTGGTGCATACCGCGGTGTGAGATGCCCATTGTTGCGAAAATATCGTTCATTTTCGTTTGGCTGTTGCCGGTAGCCACCATCGCCCTCGAAGCGAGAAGATTTACTTCAAACGGATTGCACGTTTTCGTGCCGTTCGCGCGGGGCGAAGTCCATTGATTCGCGATCTCGCCGCACCTTTCACACTGCACTAGCACTTTCACGGCAAGTCCGTAGTCCCGATCCCCTCTGACGATCGTAGCCGGTCCGTGGCAGGCTTTGCAACACAAGGCACCCATTATCGCGTTTAGGATATCTAGATGCATAAGCAGATAAGGAGCAGCGTGGTACGAGTCCTGTGCGGTTGCCTCGCTACAAGTCGCGGTGAAAAAGTCATTTTTCCGTGCAGTTGCTGGCGCCGATGAAAGCCGGTCGAGCGTCGCTTTCTCCCGGGCATGATTTTCTTCAACTTCGGCGTTTGTCACCACCTTGGCGTCGATTCGTAGTCGTCCGGAGTTCGCTTCACCGTCATCGTCGTCGGAGGCAACGCGCTCGGTCGCACCATCGCTGAACGGCCGCGGAGCGTCGACACATCGTTCGTCGGAGTCAATCAAGGGCTCTGATGACTTCGTAGACTTTCTCCCACGACCTTTGCGTTTCCTGCGACCAAATGCGTGCACGGTCCGATACTTTTTTGCGTTTCCAGGCATGGCGATACGATCAGAAGCTTCAGAGTGCTCTGCCGATTTCGAGGCGTCACAGCGGTAACCCTTTCAAAATGGCGTCGGGTCGCGTATGCAGGCGCAAGCCGCGAGCTTCCAGCCAACCGGAAAGCGCCATTTCAGTCACGTGCGCCGTTTAGCCAATGGCAGTGAGCGCGGCTCTTCGTCTTTGAGGCCCCGTTTTTCGAGCCGGGGAAGCGCTCAATGTTGCTTACTGAATAAAAAAAACAGCTGAAAACGCGTTCTTTCAAACAAGACCAAAATGGCGCCGATCGAGCGTGTAGTTCCCGCGTATCGTAGAGCCGAAACCTGCGCTATTCGCCCTCAATTTAAAGGGCAGGACGCCCGTTTTGGGTTTTTTAAAGTTGAATAACGATAAAAGTAGATGGTATTCGGCTATGAAATTTTGTAAATAGGTGCGCAATGATGTCGGGAACGCGAAAAGAAGGTCCGCGAAAACTCGATTTTTTGGCTGATTTTCGGTCCCGAAGTGCCGCATCCCCCCTTAAAAATTTTTCACGAATCGCTGAACCACTGACGTGGCTGAGAAAAGAGAAAATGCCTTTCGTATGACTTGCCGAACAAGAGGATCCCTTCAATGAACTACCAAAGTGTCTTCAAAGCCATCCTGTTCTGGTGCATTTTGACGAGCAAGCGAAAACCGATATCCACAGGGATACAAGCAATTTAGGTCTTGGGGCTGTGCTCATCCAGTGGCAAAACGGACAAGAACAAGTCATTGCATAAGCCAGTCACACTCAAGCTGAGGAGAACTACTCCGCGACCGAGAAAGAATGCCTTGCCGCTGTATGGGCTATCAGCAAGTTTCGACCATATTTATATTGTAGGCCTTTTTGAGCTATAAGCGACCATCATTCACTATGATAGCTGGCTAATCTCAAGGACCCATGTGGAGGGCTTGCGCGATAGAGCCTGCGATTACAGGAGTATGATATCACGCTTGTGGATAAGTCAGGTGGCAAGTACAGCGATGCGGATCACTGGTTACGTGCTCCGAATGAACCTTCTGCTTCTGCTTCGACCGAGGACTGTGAAGACGGTTTGTTTTCTGAGGAGGGTTTATTTTCTGGGGAGCTGTGACACCGTCAGAGATAGCACATCATCAGCGATCAGACCCTGATCTACTCCTCTTGATCAAGTACGTAAAAAGACAGTCTGTCGATGTTCCACGACCTTTTGTCCGGGGCTTGTCAGCGTTCGTTCTAAGAAACAACATTCTGTATAAAAGGAACTTTGACAAAAATATGGCGACATTCCGGCTTGTCGTCCTTTCACTTCTGCGACCAGAGGTTTTGGAGGCTTGCCACGACGATCCATCCGCTTGGAATTTAGGAGTAAGCAGAACGTTAGCACGCATCCACACTGAATACTACTGGCCGAAGTTGCTTAGCTCTTTACGACACTATGTCAGAAGATGCCGGTACTGCCAAAGATGTAAAACACCACTGCTGAAACCAGCAGGTCTCCTTAAACCGATATAATCACCAGAAGACCCATTCACACAAGTGGGAATGAACTTACTGGGCCCATTTCCTACGTCGTCATCAAGAAAACGGTGGATAATAGTTGCGACCGACTAGTTATCCCCGATATGCCGAGACAGCGACTCTTGTTAAAGGATCAGGCAACGAAGTAGCCGAAGTCTTCGTCTCCAACATCGTACTGCGGCACGGAGCTCTAAGAGCGTTGACCACGGACCGAGAAACTGCATTTACGGCCGACCTGATGAAATGTACCATGAAATTGACGCACACAACTCATAGGAAAATGACGGCATATCATTCTCAAGTGAATGGCCTCACCAAATGACTGAACAGAACACTGGCTGATATGTTCTCAATGTGCAAGAATATAGAACACCGTACTTGGGATAAAATAGTACCCTATGCAACATTCCCCTATAACACTGCGATGCAAGAGACAACACGGATGACGCCATTCCAACTTGTTTTTGGCCGGACACAAACAACACCTTCAGATGCTATGTTACCTATTGACGAGACGTCTGAAAATGACTATGACGTTCAAGACTACATACAAAGGGCAGAAGAAGCCAGACAACTGGCCCGATATCGCATTCTCCAACAGCAGAAAACCGACACGCACCCATAAAATTTGCGAAGAAGGGACCTCCAGTACGCACCAGGAGACAGAGTATGTGTGTGGATTCCTGTACGAATACGTGGCCTGTCAGAAAAAGTGCTTCGCCGCTGTTTTGGTGCATACAGAGTGCTCCGCCACACCGGCTCGCTCAACTACGAACTTATGCCAGAATGATAGGATATCTCATCGCGACGGCGGCATCGCACGGAAACTGTGCATGTCTTCAGGATGAAACCATATCACGACAGGCAATGAAATGTTGAGGACACAATGTTGTTCGACGTTAACCGCATCCACGATGAGATGATGTGAATGACCACCATGCGACCAGTTCGACACAAGCATAGGGACGATGCACTGTGGAAAGGGGGGCAATGACGCAATGCGGCTTCAAGTTACGCGCGCTGGCCGATAATTGTGCCGTGTGGATGGTTTGCGACGCACGAGCATGCTTGGTCCAGCTTGCCACGACCCGTATTGGAGAAAAAAAGAAGAACGTGGAGAAAGAGGCAAAAGTGAATCCACTAGACAACTAGAAAATTTTCGTTCTAGCTGTGTTGTTTTTCGCGGGCACAAGTTCGCCCTGTCTACGTTAGCCTAGTAAAAGTGTTCATTTAACAGTGCGATACGATATACTAGCCCCAGCATTGTTTTCTCAGCATTAGAATAACCACGTTCAAGAGCCACTTGCACCATGCTCAAATTTAGTTAGCGCAGTTGTACATAGCTTACGCCGGTGAGTTTTACGTGGAACTCGGGCACGGTGGTCGGGCGTCGCGTCAGCCGCAGAATGGTGGCTCTGAAGTTTTGAAGGCGGTGCATGGCCGGTGGTGTTATTTCTACAGTGCGTGAATTAATGACGTAAAAACTCTGAAACCACATTCGTCGTTGTCAGTGCCTCTAGCGCGTGTTCTCTTGTGCTTGCTTCATTGTCGGCAAGCTGTTTCTCGCTGTTAAGACTCGCTCTAAATGATTTCACCTTTGGTGCCACACTGGCACAGTGTGTTGAGAAATAACTTTAGTTACGATGGTCGGTTCAACTTGACGCGTGGGCTGTGCAGCGCACGTGGTTTCCACGCCGAAGAGAGAGTTGCACGGCTTCTGCTTCACATTGGAACAAGAGAAGGAAATTTGCCCAGTGAATCTCGGCGAGTTCCGGCTTCACAACGGCTTCACATCGAGCGATGTCGGGGCCCTTCCTCAGTTTTTTCCTTCCTTTATGGGTGGCTGCGACGCCAACAGCACAAACCAGTCCAGACTGTCCATACGATTGATATCCCCATAAAAGATGAAGCTGTGGCTCCTTCTTTGAACAAACATGACCATTATCCAAGTGGTGACTACAGCAGGAGGAGAGTCACATGTGGGAAACCATTCTTTTAGTTGAATGTCGTGCACCTGTTAAACATAGGCTCTTAAAAAACACGGACTTGAGCGACTGACTATGTCGAGCAAGTTGATCTTACTGATGCTTTGTTAATTCTGTTAAATGTTTCAACTAAACATGACTGCCTCTGCCAAGAAACAAACCTAGATTATGCAGAAGTGTCGGAATGCGCAATTTCTTTCCTTCCTGCGTGTTTTAGTTTGCTTCCGTCGTAACCGTTTCCGACGACTAAATGGGTCAAAGAATAAATAATTGCACATGATCTATGGCTTTTTTACTTGAGTGGCACCACCCAGCCAGGCCATCAATATTGAGTAACGGCCACTGAAAGGACCGGTGTCCTCACCTCATACTCCGATCTCGGCTCGAGCAGGAACGGCAGGCGGAAAGGCACGAGAGAAAAAGCAATCGGACGCCCAGGATCAGGATACGGCACTTCACTGCTGCATGGCACGACGCTGCAGCATGAGCAAAAATGAAAACACTCTGATATACACAAATGAAGAACTGGATAAAGCTGAAAGCAATCGAGCTCAGTGGAATGCTCGTACATCACTGCAACCGGAATGTTGCTATATATTACATATTGGTAATACCAATTTGGTGTCCTAAAAGTGGTGTCTAAAGGACATTAGGTCATCATATGTCGAAATTTAGTTATGTAATAACCATTGTACACGAATTTACAACAAACACGTAGCCGGGAAAGTTTTCCCATGTGGTACCGCAATAGTGGTAATTGGACACGAGCGGCAACGTAGACATTCCCATGAGGTTTTCACTTGCGAACATCAACTTTGGCGGAGCGCAATTATTTCCAGTTTGAGAGCAAGGCACTCGCTGTGCTATTAGGCATAAGGCAATCCCGTGACTACATTTTTGAAAGAGAGTTAATTCCACTTAACGACTGACCCTCAAAAATTGACGGGTTTTCAGAGATTAGACAGGCAGGTGTCAACAATGACCACTGCTAGAATACAACGCTGGATGCTCCACCAGTAGTCGCAGCGAGCTCTAGCGACATACTAGCTGCCACAGATTCTCGACGACAGGTACTCAAGGGGAATGCCTAATGGGACTTATTCAGCCTATACCTTGACGTTACAGTTCAGCTCCCAAATATGCGCTGTCCCAAAGCCAGCTAAAAACTGCAGCCATCACAACACTTAAGCTGAAGGCCTCGTCTTTTTATACCTGGCCGCCGCAGAGTTCAAACAGTATACGCTAGGTGGCCGACCCGGAATCGCAAATAGGCTGCCAGCGACCATTCAACCGTTATTAAAGCTGTAATAAGAACTCCAACAACAGGCGAATTTACAAACTTTTGGGGCAAGTACTACTAGTACGCTTGCAAGGCTCACAAGCAGTTGTTTCCCAATGAAAGTTCACGACCAGCTCATGAAAGCCTGCTCTTCTAGCTTTCCCTGCGACTTTGCTGCGTGTTCCACTCAGACCTAAAGCTTTTTAAGTACATAATTGGGGTCTGCATTGTCCATGCATAAGTTTCATGTAGCGTGACCATGCTGAGAATCAAGCAATCAATACACGGCTAAGACAAGAGTAGCAATGATCATAGTTGGGCTGAAGTAAACGAATATATAAAGGGGAAGCTTGGGCATGCTGCTGCCACAAAGGGAAAAAATCGCAGTATCTCCACAGAATGAACGATGATGAGTGCGACGAAGCGTTCGTCCATCCGTCCGTGCTTCCGTTCATGCATCCGTTTCTTCGTACGGGCACCCGTTCATGCGTCCGTCTGTGCATGTGTCCATGAGTCGATCTGTCCGTGTGTCTGTCTGCCTGTATGTCTCTCCGTCTTCTTGTCTGTCTGTTCATTCATACGTCCAACCATGGGTCCGACCATGCGTGAGCCCGTCCATCTAGGGAACACTTCAAATACCTCCATCTGGCTTGTTTTTACCATATATTGGAGGGATGAATGGATGGATGGATGAATGGACGGACGGACGGACAGACGGACGGACAGACGGACGGACGGATGGATGAATGAATGGATGGGTGGACGGATTCGGCTATGTCCTTTAGATCAGGCGATATATCACGCCACATAGCCTTAAAGTTAAGTAATATCACAATGTGTTTAAAGATTAAAGTTCATTCGCGCCTTGACTGTAGCCACCAAAGTTAGCCTCCTCCTAGTTATTCCTACCCATTTAGAGTCTATTTTGCCTTTACTGTCCCTGAACTCCAATGCATTGAAAAATTCCGTGCTATTATCTTTAATTAAAGGCTGGAGCTTTCTACAGAACATTATCAAATGTTCAGCCGTTTTCTCCTCTTCTCCAAACACAAGACATATCGTGTCTGTGCCTTCGTATTTGGTTCGGTGCGTCTTGGTCCGCATTACTCCCGTTCTAGCCTCGAACAGCAGAGAAAGACTCCGAGAATTACCATAGATATTTTCTTTTGCAATTTCCTGCTTAAAAGTTTGGTAGGTCTCCAGTAATAATTTCGTAAGCATTCCTATCTTTCACATATCCCTCTTCGTTTCCTTCACCTTCTTCTGAACCAATGCTTCCTTTTGGCTTGGTATTCTGCTGTTGTCTAAATATTTGCTTGGCAACTGTCAAGTTTGCTTCCTCCATTTAGTATTCATCATATACAATACCGCCATCCAGCAGACAGCCCCGCCACGGTGGTCAATGGCTAAAGTTTCTGACCCCCAGGTCGCGGGACTGAATCCCGGCTGCGGCACTGCATTTCCGATGAAGGCAGAAATGTTGTAGGCCTGTGTGCTCAGATATGGGTGCGCATTAAAGAAGCCCAGGTTATCGAAACTTCTGGAGTCCTCCACTATGACGTCTCTAATAATCATATGGTGGTTTTGGGACAATAAATCCCACGCATCAATGAATCATCCAGCAGACAATCCAAGGCCTAAACGAGAGTATGTACTACAATTATACTGTCAGCGCTTTGTTAATACCGAGAGTGTGATAAGGACGCCATGCTACGTTTTTTGTAACGTGTGAACACGCCGATATGTACCTGAGGGAGGGTATGTGCCACTTGCATGTGGGTATGTGCCACAGCTCATGCTCTGTGACAACAAAGAATGCACAAGCCACGCCATAAGGAGCTTCGCCCCTAAAAAAATAGATACCACGTACCTAGGGAAGCGATGTTATGCGACGCATGCGGATGGAAGGTGAAAGCGTATATTTTTTATTAGGCCAGGCGTTATGAAAAGGCGCAAAATTTACGCACAAATGCACGTACACACATACGTTCAGCCACCGTATGTGTTTTATATTAGCATTTTTTTACAATTGCGGAATGATGAATAATAGCAACACAAGCATTTGTAAGCTGATATTCAGCGGTGGTGTGCACGAGGTTGGTAAGCGTCGATTCTGCTACTAAAATCATCTTCAGCGGATGGCGCCTACTTACCATTTACGTTAATCTGACATTACGCCTTTACATCTACATGTGAAATGTTTATAAAATTGGATAACCAGTACTCCAACCACAATTTAAGGTCGATTTGTAAAATATATCCAAGGCCTACCGTAGTTCTGTGCTAGAATACTTGATTGCGACGCAGAATGCAATGGTTTGATTGTGTTGTAGGCTCATGTGCTAAGCTTTGAGGGCACGTTAAAGAACCCCAGTTGGTCAAAATTTCCACAACCCTCCACTATGGTGTCTCTCATAATAATATGGTGGTTTTGGGACGTTAATCCCTACATATCATCATTATCACCGCTTTGATTCCTGCTGGTGCACTGGCATTTATTTTTTTCATTCGTATGGTCAGTGCTGCCTATGGCAGTTTTTTCTTAATACTCAAGTGTTTAAGTTGCTCATATGTTTTTTCGCCGTTCCTGGTTAGATAACAAATGTCTATAAACTGTGGTAGATATCCGCATATCAGTGGCACAGACTCGTACTCGGTTATGTGCCATTGTTTTTTAGAAAGTGTTCGACTACATACGAGATGAGATAGTGACATTATTCATCTCATGAAAAGCAAGAAGTCTTCGTCAAACAACTCCCATACAAATTTCGGTGTGCTCATCACGGGAGTGATCATGACGGCACCCGGACCTCGGTAGACAGACAGACAGACGAATGGAGGGACAGACGGACAGACAGACAGACAGACAGACAGACAGACAGACAGATAGACAGACAGACAGATAGATAGATAGACATGCAGGCAGACACCTAAAGTGCTTGCAATACGCAAAAAAATGCTTCGCATTTGAAACAGCGGAAAGCATGGTGAAAGCGAAAGATAGAAAAAAAGAACAGCGCTTTGTCGTTTCCTCCTTCTTTTAGAGGCAAAGCACCTGAGGATGTCCTTGTGTCGGCGTGCATCGTGTGCATTCGTAACAATCAATTTGCTTAGCGTAAAAAAGGGTGCCAACACTTCAGCGGCCATCGTGTGACAAGAGAGAATGAACGGCACACGTTGAATATGCAAACGCTCCTTCTGTGATGAACGCTGAACTACTAGATCGCAGAGATTGTGAACGTGCCCTCACCCTCGAGAGAAAACGCCAATGCAGGCAGCGTCTGCTAGCGAGTTTCCTAACCGAAAAAAAAAAACAAACAATTAACTGCTCGCCTTGCCTGACTGTTCGCCGGCCACTTCGTATATATAGGCACTTGATCTTGACCCGCAAAGCAGAGCCAGTGAATGATTTGTCTTGTGCATAGCTGGTAATATAATTGTATTCACAGCATGCGCTTCAACTAAAATTGGACTGCATCCTTCACTCCTTCACAGCTATTTAAAAGGCAAAGCTCCTTAAGCCGTGGGTCATTCGTCCACGTTGTTTGTAGTAGTAGCCGCAGCAGCAGCAGCTGTAGTAGTAGTAGTAGCGTAGTAGTAGTAGTAGTAGGTAGCCCCTTCCAAGTCTGGACAAGAGGAGCGGCATGCGCACACTTTTTTGAATTGAGGAGGAATCTCGCACACGTTAATCATAAATAAAAAGATTGTTGTTTCTGACAAAATAACCTACAGAGACGAGTATCGGCGACTTAACCTCGAATAAAATTTGCCGTTGAATTTCATGCTTAGTAACAAAAACTAGTAACAGAAGGACTGTCTGACCAGAAAACGTTGCCACAGTGAAGTCGCTTGGCATAACCTCCTTAGTTTTAGAAAGGTTTAGCGAGGGTTGGCCCACAGAGCCATGAACTAGCGGCGGTGAAAGGTGGGAACTAGACACGAAGCGCAGGCCGTAAGAAAGTGCACGCAAGCCGCTCCTCTAGTTCCGCTGTGCCACCTCTCGTTTAGTCCTTGGAATGTCCGTTGGATGGCGGTACTTCTATACAGTAGCGTTAGCCGCCGCCCGATCTAAAGGGTATAGCCACATAAATCCATTCATCCAAGGGGTATACACGGTATGTAGTACGTGTGGAAAGAAGGACGAAACTGCCCAACACTAGATAATGTTCTGCAAAGGGCTTCACCCTACAGTTCAAG